TTATTAAATAATAATGTGATTAATCAATGACCTGGGTCATGATATACTATAATAATGTTATACATAATATGAATATATTACTATATTCTAATGGGTTTCCTTCTCATCACTGTCACAGAAACAACGTTTAAAGAAATAACTAACTAAAGTAACGCATTATATTCTTATTATCGCCGTCATCACATTTGTTGACAGTCACTCGTTATTGTTACCAAAGGTTGAGCTGAGGTACTGTTGCTCTTTTTTATATATTAGAGAGGAAGAAAAAAAAAATTGTTATATAAAATATAATACTAATAATTTATTTAAACAGTCTATGTAAGGGAAAACTCAAAGAGGCGTTTTCTTCCCGAACTACAGTGATTTAAAACACTGCTGACTCAGGAAATATAAGATGCCACAATTCATATTGTACATGATGAACTATACAAACTGCAAAAAAAAAAAAAAAAAATGATGCATACGTATTAAAACATAAGAAGAATAATTATCGAATCAAAATGATTTTAATTATCTGTAATGATCACACTGTATAACTATTTATAATTGGGTTCTTGCAATTAAGTTTCATTTATTTTTTTTTTATCCCTATAAAATGCATGCAGTATGCCAAACATAACCACAGTATTGAACTAAGTAATTCTTGCACTAACCTGTAATTTAAATTGACACCCTGTAAAGGTGACAACCATTATGTTTACTACTAATATATTTTTCTAAGTCAGCTTCATACATACTGCCTCCCCATCCCCCTATCATCTGCTTTTTATTTCGACTAAAATCTGAACATCAACTAAATCATGAAATGATACCTGGATCCAATACAGCGGTGATATACACCTTTCCTATTTCAGGTATATTAAAGTGTGGCAGCCATGATGTGATTTCCCACTCCACTTCATCCCTTTTATCGGATTCCCCATTCATTGAGGGAAGTCGGAAGTGACTACAGTGTAGAGGTTCGTCAGTATCACAAATACCTGACCATTCACCTGTTGTGAATGCATAGAACATCATAATCACAGTCAAATTTTTCTGAAAATCTCTATAGTCTTTTAGATTCATCTTTAAACCTTTTGTAAAGATCTTTTATTTAATTTTGTATTTCCTCTTCCTCCCATGTCCATCCAATCTATCGGTTTCTTTTTTAGTACTACGGGTTGACAAGTAACAAGGAAGCCTTCTCGCCAATGCATGTTCTCGGTACGCAGTTGCTTAAGACCCTTACATGAGATGAAAAAAAAAACTTCTAACTTCCATCAAATAATAAATATATATGCCATAATAAGATGGTTTCTTAGTATGCTGTAATTTACACTAAACTGTACAGATATTTATAAGGAAGGACAGGTTTATTATTATAATGTTTCATGCAATGCCCCCCCCCCAATAACTTTTTAAGCAGTTAACAGATTTTTTTCACGAATACTGCTGTGAACATTATAACACTAGCGGCCACATCACCATTGTACGCAAACATTTCCTAAGAATAATACCAGCACTGCAGTCATACAAACTTTAGATTTGCGCACATCATTACTGCCAATTAATGTCGATTCCATAAATACTTTGTGATTATAGATCTTCAACAAATATGCAGCTTTTGTTAAGGTAAGTGTTTTTGATGGTAGTATCCAATGAATTGTTAGAGCTAGTCACATAAAATGCCATTACAGACAAATCATAAACATACCAATATTCTACATACAACATTCTTCTTATTTATTGGCAATTAGGTTAGGTTGCTGGCCACACGGACTTTTTGGTTATAAAAATTATTTATTTACAGTTTATTCTAGCCTTACAATGTAGATTAAATAATTCAAAGGGAAATATGCATCATAATATGTTCTTCTTAAAACTGGTTTTTTCATTTCTGTACTAACTACGATAGTCTTGCCACATACGTAATCATATTACTATGATATTAGATGAGACATATAGCTGCTCTCTGGATTGGTACTTTACACACAAGTTGAAAGTTAACTTCTACATGGTTCTCAGCACTCAAGTCAAATTTTATTAAAATTCTCAAAAATAGCTCATATTGCAAAAATATGCATATAATGTAGACCACGCACTTTTCATTAAAGTATGCAGTTTTCATTGTAGAAAACCAATTCTGGACTAGAAACATTTTCGTGTGACATAAATGAATTGTTTCTACACTATAAAATTACTGTGAATGCAAGTATTAATTTCCTTTTGTTTTTCAGTGCTATGCCTACAGTCCACAGATCAGGAGAAAATCCCTGCTAGGAATTCGATATACGTGCAAGATTTCGCGGTGAGTGACGACCCATCCCATAAGCATTCGTTCCACAACCACTGAACGAACAACAGACGACAGGCTTTCATGTGTTTTAATGGGTACAGCTTTAAGATTAACTCAAAGCGGCACAGCGATTTAATCTAGAATATTATCACAACACCCACAGAATACAGTGCAGGTGCACTCACTACATGCTACGCTTAACTGCTTGATGTTTTCAGTCTGTGTAGTAGCGTAAAACTCTGACGAATCACACTTCCCACCAATAGCAGCCCTCTAGTCCAGCTGATAAGTAACATTCCCCCCGCACCGCACCAGAAACGACTTCCCTCAGCAGGGTTTTTCTCGTGATCTGTGGACAGTACATGGTATGGCACATAAGTAGTACTGCATGTGATACCTATCGTATATATGAATGAGTGTTTAACCATAACTTTTCTATCCTCAGAAGGGCCATGGAAATCGCTGTTTAGTTTTCCCTTGTTCTGGGAAGAATATAAATTTATAAGAGTCATGCTTTGTCTGTCCCAGCATGAAGAAAATTCCCTCTTTGTTGGTAAACTTCTACCAGACTACATGGTGGAACAAGCCAGAAGACAGCCATCTTCAGACACAATGCCGTGAAAACATCAAATCCTACTGAACATTAAATGCAGGCAGATATTTTTCCCAGGAACTGTTTCCTTAAAGCAGTGTTACTAAGGAAAGGATTATAAAAATCATAGCAGTAAAACTGGGGTAATCACACATTTTTATAAGTTAAAGACTAATTATATACGCTTCAAGCAATCATTCCCCATTTTTTAAGAATAGCTGAAAAGCAGTATATTTTGACTGATGTTTTGTTCAACTAGAATTATCTTACCTTCACTGCCAGAGTCACTAATGTTCCCACTCTTACACTTTATTATTCCCTAGGTTAATGTTTGTTGATTCACAAATCACAGTCCTGGTTATACGGATATAGTTAAATATTCCCTTCTGTGTCGCCTGGTCTCCTGATGCAGGTCAGTTAACTCTCAATTGTGCCGTGTCCACAATCAGTAACACTCATATATACCTTATTCACAATTAAGGAGCCATAATCGATTCGTTCTTATTAAAATTTACTAGTGAATAAAACCTTTATAAAACTGACACAGACAAAATGTTTAAGCGTCATGTGCGAGAGAAACTCTCAAAAAAAATTCTGAATATTACACACATTCAACATGGGCACTATTTGTTTTCACATGTACAAATATCCAATGTTTGCTACAGCATCACAACGTCAACTGTCAGCTGCAATTGTGCCCTTCAAGCAGATGCCGGCCACTGGAGTCTTTTATGAATCCTCACCGGATGTGGTATCCGGTGTTGTGACCGGCCAATTGACGGGACCAGCACGGCCATTCCATCGGTTTGGCAAATGCTGATTAAGAGACACACGCACAATCAAATCAAGCTCCAGTGTGGCGGTGCGCCATCTTGCTGAAAGAACATGGCATGTTGCAGTTTTTGTAACTGTGGATAGACAAAGTTTTCCAGCTTATCCAGGTAAATGCTGGATGTCACAGACGGATCAGCAAAGAGAAGAGGTTCGATCAAACGATCGTGCAACAGGCTACGCCACACATTAACTTAGGGGCTGTCTCTAATGTGCTCCACTGTAGCGTGGACTGCGGACAAGATTCTTAGTATCCTTTCGACGTCTTCATCAGACACACTTAAACCACTCCACGCACTGTACATTATCCTGTGGTTTCATAGCAACTGACGTGAATCACCAAGACGGATGCAGTGCAGTGGAAAACAATGGGTGCTACCATCTACCGGGAACTCTGTGAAACGTTGCGTGTTTCTCTCGCAGATGACGCTCAAAGAGTGTTTGTCTTTTCATAAATATTTTGTTCATGAGGAAAGTTGTACACACCTGCACTGTTTACAGAGTCACCTACTGCCAGCCTGTTCTATTACCACAATCGCACGCAGCACGATTAATAGTTTTAATACTCATTTCTTCGCAAGTTCAAAATTCTTTGCCTGAAACGGTAGCTTCGTAACACTTCAGTAATTTTCACATTCAGAATTATAAATGAAAACGAATAATTCGCTCAGTAACTTTCACATCCAGAATTATAAATGAAAACGAATAATTCTAATTAATTATAATTAAAGCGTGTATATTTTATTACCGCATTGTAACCATTATTGTTAGGATACTTGAGCTCTGTGGTGTTATTACATATTAGTGAACTCTGACGACAGTTTACGTAACTAACATGATAAAAATTAATATCGAACATCCGGTTGTTTTGGATCATTGCAGACTCCCTACAAAAATGCAGGTAAAACATATATTCTATTAAAACTTCGAATGACATTGTGACCAACAGTGACAATTCGTGATGTCAGTTGTGGCAAGAAATTATCTCTTCGTAGATTCAAGGGGGGGATAATACTACATCACAAACGCTTTGAAAATAATTCCTTGTATAACTTTACAACAATGGTTTGCTAATATATTTCGTCATGTCTCATGATTATGGTCTAGATTACGCTGTCATCACGTCCGCCACTATCCCCCACAAAATTTCTTATTCCCACTTGTTCACCGGCAGCTTGCAGACACCTGAAATTTCTTCATTATGAATTCTTACTCATTGCCAGAAGACATTTAAAATATGTCAATGTATTAAATTGAAACAGATACATTATTTGGAAGTGGTGTTAGGGTATAAGCAGAATAAATATTTTATAATGATATTGCAATTTAATTTTTACACATTTATCTGCATCATCTTGGAGCAATATAATCACGTCTTATATTATTCCATTACCTTTAACAGTTCGTATCTTTAATTTACATAGATCGACACTCGTCTGTCGCTCTCTGAAGGCAGAGCCCCCCGGAGTGCTACAGTTGTCGAGGAACAAGAATAGATATATTCCATAGGAATGGCACAAATTCAGACGGATGAGATTAGAAAACGTCAAGGTTGTCAACCCTGGGTTGGTATGATTGGCCGATGGTCTTTATGGGGTCTACTTCCGGCGAGCCGATACTATCGGTTGGTAGCCGTTCTCATTGGCAACGAAAGTCACCGTGATGTCCTTGCCATCAGGTCCCTTGTACGTGTAACTGCCCTTCACCTCCAGGGCCTCGTTTTCGGTTCCCGGATTTTTAAGGACTCCCTGTTCATTGCGGGATATGCCATCACTCGTTTGGAATCTGAAATATTTGTAAATGTGATTAGAACATTTAATATTTTTTTTGTATTTCTCTAAAAGAATGTAAGATGGCTGAAGTTTGTATTAACATATCTTCCTCATTTCAGTTTGTTTAAATTGTCAAATACTGAGCTATTCCGAGACAAAAGTTCAAAGTTATTTGTCACAGATGTAACTATAACAGAATAACGTTACTTTATGGTGGCAGTTATTGTTAGTCGATTTTTTTTTATTTTTTTTTTTTTTTGAAATGCATAGGTGAAGGTGAATGATGAATTTATAAAATGTCTTCGCCTTCTTGATTAACATTCAACCGAGATTCAGCCGATTTCTTGTGACAGAATTTCTTCAAAAGCTTAAGATAAGCTTTAAAAAAATTTGAATTACCAAAATCGCTAGGTATGAATTTGGAAATCCCGTAAGATCAAAAATTACTGAGCACAATTATTTATTTATTTATTTATTTATTCTACCAATCAGAGTGTTGGGACATGATTAATGATGATCCACTGATTATTAATTTTATTGTTAAATTGTTACTTTTAAATTTCACATCGTTAATGTAGCAAAGCTAAGTTTTAACCCATGTCAGCTGTCTTTGATTTCAAAATTTTGTAATCCCACTTAAGGTTACGAAGTAACAATTCCAGTTTTGTCCCAACTTTTATTTCTTGTAGGAAATATGTCAATTTGTGGCTGTCTTTACAAATAAATAAAATATATTACATAATATTTCGTCATATGTGACCTGAAAGTACTGAATACATTTGATACCAGTTTTTTGCGTAAAATCATGACGTGACATAAGACAGACTATGCTCTTACTGTTACGTGCAACATATGTCGGCAGTTCCTTACAGAACCTTTTTATTGCCTTCATATATGGATACACGATGATATTTTTCTGCAAAAGTGAGTTGACTCTACTCACATTTGGCTAACGGAGACGTGTAGCAAAACCCAATAAAGTGAATGACGAAGTCTATCTTCTGGGAATTCAATAAAAATTTTCTTGGATATTATCCATCGTCTAGTAAATATAAAACGTAAAACGACGTTTCGGAGATGGGACTTTTTTACTTTGTCCGGAGATAGGGATTAGCTCTATCTAGTGGGCCCAACTGTGTAGGAACCTGAAGACGGAGATAGAGTCCCATCTCCGAAACGTCGTTTTACGTTTTATATTTACTAGACGATGGATAATATCCAAGAAGTCCGGAGATAGGGATTAGCTCTATCTAGTGGGCCCAACTATGTAGGAACCTGAAGACGGAGATAGAGTCCCATCTCCGAAACGTCGTTTTACGTTTCATATTTACTAGACGATGGATAATATCCAAACATTTTATTCAATTGACTCTTCACCATCGTCAAGAAGTTTTAGATCTGATATTTTTATTCATGGCTTTACAGATCATTTCTCTAGGACTCCGTCTATTTTTTATCGTGTCATGTGTTCCACAAATTACAGTTGAATCAGGAAGTGAGGAAACCAAACTTAGTTGATACACACCCTGTTTCCTCCGTCCTGCAGCCATCATTTTGAAAGCCACAAGAAGCAGACGATGCATAATATCTATCTCATTTACGTCTTCAAGTTTCGTGTAAGATTAATGATGCATGAAATGAACCTTATTGATTTCCTCACTTGGTTGTCTCAGAAAATAATATAAAAGTCAGTAAATTCTGAAAGCTGTCCATAACTCTGGCTCTGTTAAGTGAATTAAGTGTCTTTCCCACATCTAAATCTTTCTTTTCATTGTCCATTTCGCTGGATGTATTTGTGTGGACCATAAAAGGCACGTAGATACGAAATATAGACCAGACATAGGCGTCTGCTGGTCACAGACAAGCCTGTCATGCCTTCTGGGTTATTGCGCCTGTTTCGAAGGTGATAGGTGCTTCCATCATCAGGTCGATCTACCAGACTATACGGTGTAACATCCCAGGAAGCAGCCATCTTCATTAGAGTATCTTGTTTGTCGAAAAAATTGCTCTGGTTTAAATTTTTTTTTGTGTTCAAAGATCAGAACTTTCTGATTGTCTCAGATCAAGTTCCCATGACTGACGCTCGCCATGTTGGTTATCGGTTGCCATGGATACCTTGAGTGAGCTGCTTCTTAATTATTCTTAAGTATTTTGGGTGAAAACAAATGAAGAGACAGGACACTCGGAAGACACACGCCTCGATACGAGGATAATATTAAAATGAATCTCGAGAGAACAGTGTGTGGATTGAATTTAAACTAAATTTGGTGAGCTGAGAATTTGTTACGAGGATATTTTTAATGCGTGATCTTGGGAAAATTGAATTCGGTCGGGCCTCTGAAAAAAATCGACCGACTTGTTTTTCTCAGGTATCTTCCATATTCTGACTTACCGCCGTTAAAACCTCAAAATCAACTCAAAGTGACTGTTCGACGTTCGTAGAGGCAGTGACTTTAACCCCCAAACAGACCCTGAAGCAGTGGAGACGCTGAGATGAGGTCAAGATTGCGTGAAGCCTCATCTTTATAGTGGTGTTTGGGTACAGGGGAAAATTTATCTTAATTTTAGCCCAGTCCGCAGGAATTAATATACCAATATCAAAAGTAAGGATTTGCCGAGAAATAAAAATTAATATTAAAGGAAAATAGAAATAATCTATCACGAAAAAGTTATTTAAAGACGCCTTGAAAGTTACTCTTTAAATAAATAAAACATTTGAGCTGTATTTATTTGTAACCCACGGTCTCTTTACACTTCCATCGCAGGCTTAGCTGGTAACGATATTAGATTTGGGGGTGGGGGAGAAATTATATCCAAATCAAAAATTCGATGGGGGTAAAAAGTTTTCGGAGATTGTGACGAGGTAGACTAGTCGGTTATACAGCCCACGCCCTATACCGACTCATGAAGCCGAGAGATAACGTTTAATCCTCTCAACACATTACATCTATGATGAGGAACATCAAATGATATTTTAATTATCTTAATTGTAAATTTTAAATTTGAATTGTGATTAGACGGGCAAAACCGAATAATTAATTAAATTATAGTTTCACAATATGTCGCAAATATATCACCTTAAGATTTTTTTATTTATTTAGTGTTCTGTCTGACGGCAGGTCCATATGAACAGGATCCTTCCATCCTTTTCTCGGACTGGGACCTGTTCATATACGTTCTTGGCAGATGATCCAGAAGTGGTTTGCCATTGCCTTCTTCTGTGTGTGAATGGAGTAATTGTTGGGATGCCACGGAGGAAAACTCCGTGTTGCCTAGACCACGGCCTTGCCCAACACAAGTTATAAATTCGGGCACCGCCGGGAATCGAACCCGAGACCCCAGGATTACAAGGCCAGCGTTCTAACCGCTAGACCACCTCATCTTATTATTATTTATTATTACATATATTTATTACTACAGGCTGGTTATGACGTCTTGGTGATTAGTAAATACATTCAGTTATGTCCTAAGTTATTTTTGGTTTTCACAACAAATCGGTGTTTCAAAAACAAACACTTGGGAAATCCGCATGGCGATTGGTAAACAACGCCTGATACATAACTTATTACCTTATCTAATACACGTCGTTTGCAGACAAACATCCAAGTCTAGTTAATAAATCTTAAAGTCCTGATCATAGACGAAATAAGATACGATATTTAACTTCAAGGATAAAAACCTGGTGGTAATTTAATATTTTTTAGATGTTCTCTGATCCTGCATAAATGTAATAAATACTTCTGTGTTTTTGATTACTGTAGAGACGACAACTACGAAATTGGAGTTGGTTTGTGGCGTTTTGGGTCATGACTCCGTCTAGTCTTGAGGAATGGAAGATGAAGGAGATATAATCCTCCGAAATGTTAGTAACCAACTGACAGACTACACGGTGTCATAACCCAGAAGACTACAAACCAAATTACCATAACCACGAAAATCTCAAAGTCTTACTGAAAGTTGTATCCGTCCAGGCCTACGTCATTGCTGTAAGCTGTGATCTGGGCGTCCTTCGAAGACTGAGGCACTGCCAAAGCGGAGGCCACGAGCGCAAAGAGTACGAGGATCTGTGTCAGAAAACAGAAACGTCTTTGTGTTATTTATTACAGCGAGCTTCCTCCAGCTTCTAGTTTCAGTCGGTAAGAAAGCGCGCTGTACATCCTAAGAGCTCGATCCAAACGCTGAAACTGAGGTAAAGCGTATTTAGAAATCCATTGTAATATCTTCCGTTTGTAGCTCGGCAGTCAACCATAAAATGCTCGTTTGGTTTCAGATACCCGCTGTAGCGACATCTCTGTCGAGTTTCAATTGTTCTGAACGTAACTCTGAACAATGACTGAGGTCGAATGAAAAGTAAGGTCGATACATCGATCAGTATCTAACGAGTTATGCTCGAAATGGACGCATACACGCACGAAGATCTTTCATTTAAAATTGTCGTTATTATTGTCCGACGCCGACAAATTTAAAGCTCGTTAATATTGTTATGGAACCCGTACAGCGACTCTGGAAAGGCAGACATGGCTACAAATAGGCGTATAGTTGTAACTTTTCGTTGTAACATAACCTAACAGCGTCGCATTTCAGTCACGTTCCTCGCCGTGTTTCGTAACCACGCCGCTTGGAGCGGTATTCTGAAACATGACACGTACACAATTTCCGTAATAAAATTAGTGTCAGATATACCATAACGGAAGTTTTGAACTCTTAACTCACGCATTAAGACTAATGTGCGTATTTTTTGGACGACTAATTTAATAAAGTATTTATATAGAAATTTTTCTGTAACTGCGTTTCCAGACAAATGATGGCTAAAATGTTTGTTACCGTAGATTTACGTTGTTACGTCATACGCCTTTATGGAAGATCCTCTAGTGATTCATGAAAACTGCAAGGGAAATTCGAACCAACGACCTTCCGCCTATCCAAATACCTTTTAAACCGCGCGGCTAAGTTTAATGTAAAAATACCTCATGACAAAACAGTAACTGGTATAAAATTTGAAAACAAAATTAAATCGTTCGTAGCAGGCTAGTGTATTTTATTTGAAAAATTTTTCTCGTCCTAGGAATTTAAGCTCTGAGACTTGTCAGAAACAGGTACTTCGTTGGTCTGCTTCGATGGTAGCAGCGAACGGCAGTTACTTACCAGTTTCATGGCTGAAGATGAGGCACTTGGTCTCTGAGATGCGAAGGATGCTGTAAGGAGATGAGCAGTCACGTTATATACGATCATCTGCCAGGGATAGTTGACTCCCACCTTCACCGAAATGTCTCCGGTAGTTCGCACGCCCTCCCTCCATTCCCCGCTACGTGTTAACCTTTACATACTCATTCAGGCCCTCCCTGGATACACACAGGGCTGTCCAAACCTCCGCTACACCTGACAGCGCTGTTTCATAATAGCGTGCAACGGTAGCTAGCGTGTTCCTTATTGACAAGCCTGCGGTGTTTGTTTGTTTGTTTGTTTTCACTAGCAGCCGGGTTGACCAAAATCACACAAGTCCAATTTACCTTCAGAGTAACGTCGCTTTCGAGTTCTTTCGTTAGCTAACATCTGCAGAACGTATATAATCAGGATTTGTTTTACAAATTGTTATTGTTGTTATTATTTTAATTATATCTACCATTATTAATGTTGTAATTAATGTTAATGTCGCATGAGAATATAATTTGGTTTATTGGATAGAATTGTGTTTCTCGGAATTTATTTAATAATATTTAATAATAATAAAATTAATATGTGTTCCCACATCACGGTTTTCAGGTCTGTGCACACACGGCACATTCAAATATACATCCAGCACATCACTGAGCTAACCTGTTTAAATGTCTATATAAATACCATATCACATGATGGATTTATATGTCTCGGAGCTAATGTCGAATCGATAAAAAAGTGCTCCTGGCTCACATTGACGAATATTTGTAATTTTCCTCATCCCTCCCCCAGAAAGAGAAGGGATATTATCTTAAAATTGGCCACGGTCGCTCATCCCCCCCCTCAGGTATAAATTAGATTGGTAAAATTTAAAACTCGAATTACAATCATTTACAATGTTATGCAGTTTATTGAAATGTTCTTATCAGATCGTAAGAGACGTTCCAACTTGTAAATCGATCATTCGATGAGGAACGTGAAATGATATTTTAAATATTTTATTATCTTATTAAAATTGTGATTTGACGGAAAACATTAAAATATTAACCTAATTCACAATATGACGCAAATATACTACCTTATTCTAAATAACGTCTTGTAAAATAAGCTATCAATTCCTCTGGAGGGTCGATTAAAACTAATCCGTTCCAATCGAAATTATAAAAAGTAATATGAAGTGATATTACGTAGTAGCAATTATATGACAGTCTTCGCTAAATATCTCACCATTCTGAAAGCGTCATTTATTCCAGGCGATATCTCAGTATTTTCAAGAACTTATATCCTGTAATTAAAACGCACATAATAATCCATAATCAGTAACAGAACATGGATTGAAACCTACACGAAAATAAATACTTGACGATCCAGATGCAAAATTGATAAGGACAGAACAAGTTAGGATAAAATGATGACGTCATAATGGAGATTCCCCCATGTTGTTGTGGGCCGACTGGGGATTCCCCACCCAATAACTTTCGCAGCGCAGAAACGCATTTAGTGTTAGTTGTTTGAATACGATCGCGCAAGAATATTTAATATTTCGACAGATTTTAGTGAAACCGACCAATACCAAATGTCAAATGTAATGGCATTAGGTCATCGTGCGTGTACACGGACAGAGAAACATTGAGATGCTATCAGGTTCTTAACCTCAAACTCAGTCATAAATAGGCAGTGACCATATGAATTACATTGAAAACGTTCTGGTTAGTTTATTGTGGTGATGACGTGTAATTCACATTCTATGAAGACAAACAATTTTATGAACAGATTAACCATCTACTACCCACGTATTAACATAATTAGCATAGGCCATAAGCGGATGTGTAATTCATTTTCAATTCCTAATGATTTTGTTTTTACGTTCCTGATAAAACATCGTAAAACAAAGTTGAAACATAGTCAATGTTGATAAAGAATCTCTATTCGTAGGTCAGATCGGCTGTGAGAGACACTCGCACTCAGACATGACATCGGTATCATGGGATGTCAGAATTTGGAAACTAATTAAAACCGATAATTTAAGTAATTAGCAAAATCTTTATTGTAACATCACAGGTAAGGCGAGAATGCCAAAGACTGGCTACCAAAGCTAAAACTCAGATAAAGATTATTTAAAGTACAGAGTAACCATTCAAAGAATGTAAATAATGATCCTCTGCGAATCTCGTAGGTGGTCCCCGACACTTCGGCGAAATGTGTAGAGTCCATCTTCAGGTGACCATCTACAAGCCTACATGGCGTCACAATCAGTATTACCACAATGCGCGTTCTTACCGTTGTAGAAACCTCAAACCTCAGACTTTCAATAGACGGGTTATGCAATCAGAACAGACGTCAGTCTATCAACGGAGGTGAAAATATTAAGACAAACAGCTTCTGTAATCGTTCCCTGGACTGCCTAAACAAACCCAGTACCGAGCGTAATAAGTAGGATATATTATTTACGTAGCAAAGTACAGGTCGATTCAAAAGTTCGGATAAACTACTCTTACAAATATTTTTACAATGCTTTTTTTTTAAGTTTTTAAAATGTCCGCCTCTGAGGGATGGTTAGTAGTGTCACCTGACCTTTGCACCCCACATTTAGGCCTATATCTAAGTTGCCTGCAAGGCCTAAGGCGGTTGTTGATCAAATTTCCAGGTCCTACAGAGAATAAGCTTCATGAGTCGGAATAGCATCGCGTAAGAACTGAACAGAGTTTTAGGCCTATCTCGAATTATGACGGAATTTAAGAATAAAAGTGACACATATTTTGAACTGTAACCCAGTGATTTTCGCTGTCACGTACACCACATACGAATTCTTACCAGTTTTCAGCGTCTGGCTGTTGTACGAAAGATCAAAGTCGCTCTTAAGAACGTACAGTACACTCAAATATACACGAAACACATTTATTAACATGTTCACTGAACCTAAAATTATCCCTATCCTGAGTCAGTTTAATCTACAATTCTGTCTCCCTAAGATCCACTTTAATATTATCCTCACCTTGAACTTGTGTATGTTTTGTTCAAAAGATTCTCAATTGGTAACAAGCAGTCCCCGAATTGTATATGCTCATAATGTCTTCTTGAATGCAGTTTTTATTTGTTACAGTCAGAGTTTTAAAGATTTGCTAGCTACTTTTAATTTTTTTTTTAAAAAAAATTATATTTCAAATTACTTACGTTTTTAAATATTTGCTAGCTACTTTTAATTATTTTTTTTAAAAAAATTATATTTCAAATTACTTACGACACGTGAACCAATATTTAGTTTTCATTGCATTTACTTTCAGATTAACCTCCTCATTAGCATATAAAATATCTTTGCGATTTCCTTTACGATATTTGTGTTTCGATTCAATAAATTAAGATCATCATCATAAACGACAAGCTGATATATATCTCATATAGTTCCAGTTCTTATTGGATTGGACTTCCAATCTCTTCAGTATCTGGCAAATGAAAAACATCTGCTGACTAAGCAGTTTATCCACGTAGGATTCTCAATGACTTTCACGCACGTAGATCGTGTTTTGTTTTTCGCATGTTTTTTTTTTCTCGTTGGTATAAACAGTTTGTTCTTTAGGAGATAGTTCATCCTCTTGAAAATGGTAAATTCGTAGAGTTTTTGTTGAGAAACCTGAATAGAAGGTGCGAATTGGAATATGGGAGGACAATACTGAAATAAACGTTGAATAAATAGATTTGAGGACGTAATATGAACTGGTGTACACGGCAGTGGGCTTTATGGTTCTACAAAATGATTACCTCTGCATCTATCAGTTACTGAAAAGAGTCTCTGCTACACGTAAGTAAGGTAAAATTCCTTCATGTTTATCAGCGATGATTTCCGATGAATAACACCTTATGTTTCCTCTACTCGTCTTTCCAAAAGACAAAATTAATTTATAAATTGTTTCTTGTGCAGAACAAATCTGATTCTTAATATTTTACGCAGAGCCGAATAGCAGCTAAGAATTCTTAGCAGTGAACGGTGCTGCCATCTCTTGGGTCGAAGTGGAAGGAATCGCGCCCAACATGGCCGTTGGATCAGCTCGAAACAGAACCGCATACGCCCTATCCCAGAATTAATATGTCCAATGAACATTTCAATGTCTTACGTGTTATTGTTGTTAAATAACCGATAAACAGTAAATAAACCGCTGAGTTTGTCACGGATACGAATAATCAATTCGGAATACAAATTCATCACTCGTATCCATTCTACTTGTCTGGTTCAATATCGAAATATCTTTAACATTTATTTTAATATTATCTTCCAAATTTTTATTAGATTTCTGACCCCACATGGTGCAGGGATATGAACCCGCGTTTCTGTAATACAGAATCTTCCATATCCAAGGAATGTTATCGAATGTGTGTCAAGTTAGATTGAACAGTAACCTCACATTGTTAATTAAAATATCATAGAATATGATGCGTAATAAGGACATAAGACGGTTGTTTCGGGCGCCATCTGTGATTAATGACGTCATGATGAGTTGTGCGGCGTCACGATAAGGCGCGCGCACGCGCAGTTTGTCCTGCCCTGAGAAAGGCCACATCACTCTCGCCTGAGGATTCTCCCTCACAACAAACACCTCCCCTCCAAGCCAGTTTGCACAACCTCACACACAGAAATGTCCAGTCAGTGCAAGTGGTTTTCTTAACGAGGTCAATAGGTCAAAATAAGATGCGCTATACAGAGGAATACAAAAATAAGCAAGGAATTGTTTACTGAATCTGTTCAGAACAACAGTGATTTATATTCACACCAGCTTCCTCCATGTTTCTTAAATTGTTTGCAAAGATACTGTTACTTTAGTCATTATATAACCATTACAAAGAGACATACGTGCATCGATTAGTTATTTCTTTGACGGGCAACACTGGCGGATTCCAGGAAATTATGAGGACGTATTGGAAGGTACAGGTAAATTCCGTTATCCAGATGTAAGAAGTGAACAAGGGCATTCATTATACTACCACGGTGGAACTTCACGTACGCTTGTGTTAGCTCTCCTCCTTCCCGTTATGACTTTCATATATAACCCTTTATAGGACTTGGTAACTATATATACCACCTGTTTTTACGTTCGTGAGTTTGTGTATCGTTCACAGAGGCCACGAGTTTTTACTTTGAACCG